GGAGCAAAACTATCATAAAAGACTCTTTTTAGAAGTACAGTTTGGTTTTCTGAGCTCCACAGTAACTCGGGAAATGTTAGAATGTGATACCCGGTAATCATTGAATTCTTGTAAGAATCGCGCGCGCTAATTTAWTTTTTTTAACCTTAACTTACGCGTGTAAACTTAGCTCTTTTAATAMAACKCACTGAGGAAGGTCTTTTGACAAATATTTTTATTCAGTTTTAAATATATAAGGTATAGAACTGTTTACAAAGAGATTTTAAGTCCGTAGTTTTGACTATTTTTTTCTGTCTGGTTTCAAGTAATGTTTTACAGTATATGTTTTGCAAACTAGTAGTAAGGTTGAAAAAATGAGGAATGCTGATAAAAACTTATAAATTAAGGTAGCGTTCAAATATCTAATAACCCTAACCCCAACAAATTATATATTATGATTATTTCAACATTAAAAGGTTACTGTTTTGATTTTTTGTTATTGGTGTTGTTGTTTAGGAGGAGCCGACGGGTTCCTTGGAGAAATATATCTGTTCTTATGYCCCAGCCAGCTGTAAGTAACAACTGGTTGCCAGCGATAAATTCAGAAAAAAAACCTACAAGAAATACTTTCTAACAATTTTTGCTAGGAAAATAAAAATTTCCTAACTAAAAATATAAGCCGTTTTTGACCATAAAAACATATAAGCATTTTTTGACCTTAAAAACGTTTTCAAGGAACAAAATTATTTTAAAGAGGGAAGGGCGTCACATTTGCTTGTGAAATTGTCAACAATGCAGCTCAAAATCCCTTTCCAAGGAAAAAAGTCGTACAAGAAGAGTCATTTAGAGGARCAGACCCGACGGCTCCTCCTGCTGTTGTTGGTGGTGTTGATTCAAGCAATTTCAAGAGTTGTGACTAAGTTAATTTTTACCGTAGCAGCTTTTACATTGTAYATGCTAAAATGCGAGTAGTTATTACTCTGAATGAGAGCCARAATTACTCCAAAAAGGACGAAAAAACTTCTATTTAAAGAGAAGTGCAGTTGAAATTGGTGGAGTTMAATCTATACTCTATCTAGTGTCGTCTATTGTTTRAAATTTTTMTTTYTWCT